GTCAGGGTCTGGTTTGAAGGCCGGACTCAGTACTTCCATGCTCTGCTCTGAGGGCGGGTTCCTGCCTAAAACCTTGCCCTCTGGGAAACCGCTGGGGGAGGGCGCAGCCCTTTCCAAGACGACCCCTGCAGGACTGACTTCCTTCCGGTTGGTCGTGACATGATGTTACACCCAGGGTTTTTATATAAGTAGATCATCATAAAAACCCCAGGAGGTGTAGGTCCTAGTCCCACCTCCATTCTGCAGGTGAGACAGCTTAGACATTTAGATATGTAAATACCTTACTCGGTCATGTGTCACTAGTAGCAGATCTGGGATTTGAATTCAGATATTTCCACTCCAGAGCAGATACTCTGAGCCACTTTTTGAGTTGACTACCGCACCACAGATTCCAGGACTCCAGGTCTAAGTAGTTAACTAACTTACCTTTCAAGCTTGTATTTAGTGTGCATTTTCTCAGTGACTTACATTAGTAATGACCCTGTTCATCTAACTGGGCTGTTGTTAGACTCCTTTCAAGCACACATGCATTCACCCATTCAGTAAATATTTATTGAATGCTATTTCAGCAGCAAGCTTGATGTTGGGGATAAAACAATGAATAGGACCTTAGGCAATTTTCTTAACCTCTCTAAGCCACAGTTTCTTCATTTGCAAATTGGAGTTAATAGTAACAAATTCCAGGTTGTTGGAATTAAATACATGTAAAGTGTTTCCCATGGTACCTGTGATTTTGTAACTGCTTAAAACCTTTAGTGTTTCTTATAATTTCTGCATAGATTTTTTAATAATAATAATTTCATATAGATAGAAATATAGTGCTAGAGATAAAAATGTATCCTGCCCAACAGAATTTATATTCTAGTGGAGGAAACTGAAGCATTTTGGAAATGAGAAAAAGTATTCTGGAGGTGTCAGGTACTATGACATTTAGTTAATCTAAGATGCCATTGGTTGAAAGACAGGTTATTATTTTATGTACCATTACTGAAGAAAAGTGCAGTTTTAAACTATGAAATGGTGCTGAGAAATACCAACTCCAGGAGACATCTTGATTTCAAAAATTTTAAATATGAAAAATGTTTGTGTTTTAGAAATAGAAGAAAGTATTGTTATTTGTGTGAAAGAGAAGATCTCTTCTATTTTATAAAACTAATGCTATTATATAAAAAACCATTTGGGGTATTGTTTTATGACTAGAATGTAAAAGAGATGATTATATGAAAAAATGGAAAGGATTAAGTTTTCAGTTAAAAACTGACAGACTAAATAGTATCTTTTGGGAGGTATTGGAGAATCTGTGGTATCAATGACTGTTGTCTTGTATGGCTGTTTCTGCACTTAATAGTCCAGAATGGGTTTCCACTTGGAGAGGTTGGGGAAAACAGTAAGGAGTTCTGAACTAGCTTTCCTTGTAAATGAGGATTCCAGGCTTAGCAGCATTCTGAGAAGAGCTCTGGGTTTTAAAATAATGGTCAGGAAATGGGGTGGCCTCTTTTGCAGCATATTCAAATTTCAGGTGAATGCATGACACTAAGCGCCGTGGAAGAAATTTTTGTAGGCATTGTTTCTCTAAATGATACTTTTCAAGGAGGATTCTGAATTGTTTTAATGTGATTTTTATGGTGGTTTTAAAATTTTCATAAAATCATAAAATTTTATAGCTGGAAAATTTCTTAGAAGTCATCTAGTTCAAGTTTTTATTCTTCAGAAGGAACAAAAGCCCCTAAAATTTAAGAGAAAGGCACATAACTTCTTTGTGGCCTGGACAAGACTAGAGCTCATGTCTTCTGATTTAGTGCCCTTTGAACATCTTCTTACTATCAGGATTTGGGTGTATTTATACCTGGATAAATATTACCTAATTATATAAAGAACATTGCTATGCTTAACAAACTCTAACAAAAACCACTTATTAAAAATTCTAAACATTATTATTTTGTATATTTCTTTCAAGTTTCTAAATTCAGTGCCTGTTTTCTGGTATGCATAGTTTTCAAATTAGTAAACTTTTAATATTAAACAGAAATGCTGAAGAAAACAGCAAAAGAAGAAATGGAAAGGGTGTAACTTTTTTTTTAAAAATATATTTTATTGATTTTTTACAGAGAGGAAGGGAGAGGGATAGAGAGTCAGAAACATCGATGAGAGAGAAACATCGATCAGCTGCCTCCTGCACACCTCCTACTGGGGCTGTGCCCGCAACCAAGGCACATGCCCCTGACCGGAATCGAACCTGGGACCCCTCAGTCCGCAGGCCGACGCTCTATCCACTGAGCCAAACCGGTTAGGGTAAGAGAGCAAGATTTTAAGAAACATATTAAGATGCCCACCATTTGGAACTGTTTATGACATTTTGAAATGTATACTAAATAAACATTGAAAATTCTAAATTGGATAATTGAGATGTTGTCTATAATTTAGAAATCATATGAATAGATGATAGGGCATTTTATTTTATTGGAAGAGTTGGAAAGGAAATGAATATATAATTTTTGTGAAGTATAGAGTATTGAAAAATAAAAATCAGTGTACTAATTACTACATAGCAGTGATATTTCTGTTAGTACAGATTTTTGGCTTTGGCGGGGGGCATACATTCTCTACTGAAACTGTTCATTCTTTGCTACTGTAGTGCAAGAGGCTCTAGTGAGTATGTGATCAAATAGGAAAACAGTCGGCTGGCCAGATTTAGTCTGTGGCTATAGTTTGCTGGCCTGTTCTAAGATATAAAGTCCCTTTGGTCCATGGCACCATATGACTTTTGAATCTGAATAATTTAGAAAAATGTCTTGACCTCTTATGGGAAAAGAGAGTTAATGTTTTGGGAAAGTCTAGCTTCAATTTTCTACAGCTGAACATTTCCCCCCCATTGTCATGTTGCCTATCTATAGCAGATAATAAAGTTTTATAAAATCATTTCATTATGTTAGTGATTACACATTTGTTTTAAAACTTTTTCTGGGAGTTGATTTCCTAGGATGTCAGTTTTATGGGTTTTGTTTCCTACTGCAGCTTTGAAATTCAGCCAAGAATATTTCTCAGCCCATAAAACATTTTCACTGTGCTATTCTCTGGCTAGCTCTCAATGATTTGTGGAAATAAAGGGCAAGGCAGCATGGGTAATGGGAATCCAAAGAATTCTCTTCACCTCATCTTCCACATTATTTACAGCCACTTTTTCCTCCTACAACAAATAGCAAATTGGACAAGTATGAGTTCACCACTTTCTGTTTAGAAGTGTCCTATTGGAGGGTATCAGTAATGAGTTTCTGAATACCGGTATTTTTATAAAAAATAATGAATTAAATATCTTTACTTAGGTGCTACCTAATACCATCACAGAACCATAGAATTCTGAATCTAGAAGGATTTATATAATATCTAATATAACTTCCTCATTTATACATGCCAATGATTATGAAGTCCGTAAGGGGACAGTAATATCTTTATCCTCTTATCTCAGCTTTCTAGAGCAATGTCTTCCAAAGAAGCACCACACATTCATTTTTCAAATAAGGCAGTGATGGTGCAGAGAACCTATAGATTGGATTCACTAAGTTGGTTGTTCTCAGAATCTGAGCTCACCATGTTTTAGTATTATTTTAAAAAAATTAAACACTGGGACTGTCTTGGGGAATTTTGTGGCCTGCGTTTATGTGCATAGAAGCATCATCATCTTCATTCTAAAGAAGCCTTTGTAAGGTTTGGAATATATTCACCTGTCAAAGAGCTCCGAAAAGAATTAATGAAGTACTTACTAAGCAATGCTTTTTCAAAAAAATTCTAGATCATAGGCCTTTGGGATATAATTAGGTTTACATGAGGTCATGTGGGTGTGGCCCTCATGGGGGGATTAATGTCCTTTAAGAAGAAACACCAGAGACCTTGCTTTCTATTTCTCTCTGCCATGTGAGGACACAGCAAGAAGGCGGCCATCTATAAGCCAGGAAGAGAGCCCTCACCAGAACTCAACCATTCTGGCACACTGATCTTGGACTTCCAGCCTCCAAAACCATGAGAAAATGAATATCTGTTGTTTAAGCCTCTAGTCTGTGGTGTTTTGTTATGGCAGCCTGAGCTAACTAATACACATCCCTTCTAAAATACTGGTGTTAGTATTCTGTTTGTTATTAATTTATTTATTTTTTAAATTGATTTAAAAATTTTTTAAAATATATTTTTATTGATCTCAAAGAGGAAGGAAGAGGGAGAGAGAGATAGAAACATTGATGAGAGAGAATCATGGATCAGCTGCCTCCTGCAATCCCCCTACTGGGGATTGAGCCCGCAACCTGGGCATGTGCCCTTGACCAGAATCGAATCTGGGACCTTTCAGTTCGCAGGCCGACGCTCTATCCACTGAGCCAAACCAGCTAGGGCTGTTATTCATTTATTTTTAATCACTATATACTTCCTGGGTGATCTTTTCTAATTCCATCTTTCCAGGTACCATCTCTATGGCAAGACTTCAAGAGATATATTTCTACATCAGACTGCTTTCTTTTATGTCTAACTCTCAAGATGTCCCACAGGCACTGCAAACCCAACATGTTTACAGTTAAAGTTCTTTTCCCCCAGTGACTCCATGGAGACTTTTGTTTACCAGCCTTATTGATTGTATCGCCTTAATATTTCTCATATATATCCACTTCTTTCTCTTTTTTAAAAAAAATTATCTTTATTGTTGAAAGTATTACAGATATCCCCTATCCACTTATTTTTAAATAAGCAAATCTTTCTTCCCAGATCTTTTATATTTGACAGTTGTCTAGCATGTCATTATTGGAGAGAAAAAGAATACGGTTGATGATGGAGGAAAAGAAATGATTTGAATAGAGTTAGTTTTGGGATATGATAATTCAATGAGTAATGAATTCTAAAGTATGCATTTTATATTTTGAAACTTTTTTTTTTGTTAGAGAATATACAATATTTTTAAAATAATGGAGTATTTGGAGATCGGTAAACAGATTTTTAAAACTGTTTTTAAATGTCAGTTCTTCAGGTGCTGGGAATGTAGCTGACCGTGTTTTGGCTCAGCTCCTTACGGAAATGGATGGCATTGAACAGTTAAAGGATGTGACTGTTTTGGCAGCTACTAACCGCCCAGATAGGATAGACAAGGTAAGAAAGAAGGCCGTGTGGGTGTTGTAAATTCAAGAACTGGATCATTTGATTGTTTTTTATGTCAAATTACTTCCTAATCAGTTTTTCATTTAGAGAATACTAAAAGCTTTTTAAAAAATATTTTAAAAATTGATTTCAGAGAGCAAGAGAGAGGAGAGAGAGATAAAAACATCAGTGATAAGAGAGAATCATTGATTGGCTGCCTCCTGCATGCTCCCCACTGGGGATCCATTCCCGCAACCTGGGCATGTGCCGTGATCGGGGATGGAACCTCCATCTGGTTCGTAGGTCAACATGATACCAGTTGGCTGAAAGCTTTTAAACTAAAGGAAATGAAGAGAACAGAGAAAAGTTTATGTTATTATTGTTTATGGTTTTTGTATTAATGAAACCCTTTGAATTTCCCCTACCCCATGGTTACAGCAAACTTTCAGTATATTTCCCTAGGGAATTAAAGTTCTGTGATTCTCTTGTTTATTTCATCTGATGGTTTTTGAGAAGTTTTTAACATTTCCAGTCATATTAAGATAAATTTCTTGCCCTGACCGGTTTGGCTCAGTGGATAGAGCGTCGGCCTGCGGACCGAGAGATCCAAGGTTTGATTCCAGTCAAAGGCATGTACCTTGGTTGCGGGCACATCCTCAGTAGGAGGTGTGCAGGAGGCAGCTGATCAATGTTTCTCTCTCATCGATGTTTCTAACTCTCTATCCCTCTCCCTTCCTCTCTGTAAAAAATAAATAAAATATATTTTTAAAAAAAGATAAATTTCTGGCTATTTAGTACTAGACTCAAGTTATTATTAACAACTTTCCTGAAGTCCTGGCCTAACCACTGATTTCAAAATAATTAGAATAAAAATGACAATGGATTTTACTTCTGTAATAAATCCATTGCTTAGCCTTTAGTGTTAAATAAGCTATATGGGTGCAAAATTAACCCTTTCAAGCTATTGCTATCCCTTCCCTCCAGGCCATAGTTTAATGTAGAGCCAACTAAATTTTAAGTGACTAACGTATACTAAATGTATAATTTCTCAACAAGGATTTAAATTTAGGGTAATAATTTACTCCTAGAGCTTGAACCAATTTCTCCTTTTTTGTTAACATGACTTTATGAGCTCCTCCCATCCTGTGCACGTGTACACAGACTTTCAGTTATAAAAATGAGGTTTAAAAAATGATCCTTTTGAAGATATAAAAGGAGCTTTTATGTGGAAAGAAAGCCTTGCTTTCGTTTACTTAGGTATTTTGCTATGTGACCCTTTAGTCGCTACAGGTAAGAAAGCTTTAGACCTGAATAAGTCATTCTTTTTCTGATGCAGTGTTTTATAAGAAGCCAGGTGAGTTCTGAGCATTTGTGGGATCTGGGTCAGTGCCAGCCTTCTCTGATGCCTATAAAAAGGTAGGACTGTATGTGGCCAAGGGTTATAGAAAGTGTTGAAAGAGCCCATAAAGATGACCTAGTCCTACATTTTGATTTCACAAATAAAGGCGCTAATTCCAGAAAAATCATCGTTTTCCTGTTAAGACTACATTATGTTTTTATATTTGTCTCCTGGTGACTTCATGGCTGATGAGTTCTAAAATTTATTGGGTTTCCTTCTCTGTAATGCCTAATCTAATAGCGGTTTTCTTTGGTTCCTTAATATTGTATGTCCTCAGTGTTAGATACATTTCTTGAAGTAGGATGTTAAGTTCTAAATAAGCTTCTCTGGGTTCCTCTAAAGTTATATGACTCAGCCCAGTTGGTGCTTGTGTTAGTTCTCTTGCTGTATAACAAGTCACCTCAAATTTAGCAGCTTCCCACACCACCCATGTATTAGGGTATCTGTAGGTAGGTCAAAATCTGGGCATGGCATGACGGAGCTGTCTGCTCAGGGAATCACTACAGGCCAAAAACTAGGTGTTGGCTGGACTACTAGTACATTCTCGTCAGGAGTTGGTACTCTTCTTCTAAATGCACATGGTTGTGTGATTGAAGGTCTAGGGACTGAATTTATTTACTGGGTCAGCTGGGAGCCACTCTCAGCTCCTGGAGACCACCCATGTATCCCCTTCCCATCTTCAAAGAAAGCAGTGGGGGAAATCCATATCTTATACCTCTCATGGTTTAAATTTCCATTGCCAGGAAAAGCCACCTGTTTTAAAGTCTCACCTGGTCAGGTTAGTCCCCGTTTCTCCTCTGCCCCCCAAAGGAAAATCTCTCCACCTCCAAGTCAACTGATTCAGGACCTTAATTATATTTGAAAAAGCCCTTCACAGTAGCACCTAGATTAGTGTTTGAGTGACTGGGAGAAGGTGGGTCCACCAGGGGGTTGTGGCTGGCTGTACTAGAATTCTTCCTACCACAGTGCTCTTCTGCTTCTCCCCCCACCCCCATCCCTCCACTACCTAATTTCTCTTCTAGGCACTAAGAGCAAATTTTAACTCTCAGAGACCAACTTATCCTTACCTGTTATATGACTGGTGACAAACTAGCTCCTTTGAATTGTCCTTGTTCTGTGGAATCTGCTGTCATTTCAGATGCGGCATTTATCTGCCTTGCCTTATACGTCTTCAAATTATACATGTGATCTCTCTTAAAATAGAAAAGATAAAATAATCAAAATTCCTTTTTGAAAGGATACATTTTTTTCATGTTCTTCATATGTGTAATACTTTGTAAATCTGTTCTTTAAGACAGCGGAATTGTTGATTTATAATGTTTTGCTTATATTTCTCTCTGTAAGAGCTAAATTGAACACCAACTGTGTGTTTTTTCAGTAAAATTTATCCTAAATTTTACCTACACTTGGTACAAAAGACCTTGGAGAAATTTTTAAGACAAACCTAGAGATGAGAAATTATTCTTGGGCCACTCTAAGGTTTGGGGCCTTTCTTCAGGCTCATCTTAGAAGAAGTCAAAACCCCCAAAGTAGATGACTTCCATTCTCTTTAGGATATCGTAGTCTGTAGATACCTTGGATCTCTTGGAGAAAATGCTTAACCAGATTTTGGGCAGAACTTTTCTCCAAAGTGTGAGATTGAAGGGATGGAAGTGGATCTTCTTTTTTACATTTTAGATTTTTTGCATTGTGTTTGTGTTTCTTACCTGCTAATAATATTAGCGACAGGTAGTAGGTGGTGTTTCATTAGTAGCAACTCATAAGTGACAGTCTTCAACATCACAGAGTTTGAGAAATTGAAATTAAAGTTTGGGAAATATCTTACCCAAATTCTAGTCATATTTTTGATCCTTTATAAAATGTTACCTTTAGTACCTCAGTTCTAAAAACACCTCTAACTGTCCAAAATAAATGTTTTAAGAGCCAGTATTTTTACACATACTGCTAACATTTCTTGATTTAATAACCTTTGCTTCAAGAGGCTTCAAAGAAAACTGCAAACATATATGTATGTGTACTTGTGTGTATGACTTTGTCTATATGTATACATATAATCACATTATATATATACACACATACGTACATACTTTGATTAGTTTTTTAAATTAATCCTCACCCAAATATATGTTTATTTATTAGAGAGAGAGAGAAACATTCTTCGGTTGCTTCCTGTACACATCCCGACCGGGGATTGAACCTGCAACCTAGGTATATGCCCTGACCGGGAATGGAACCTGCAACCTTTTGGTGATGGGATGATGTTCCAACCAACCAAGCCACACAGGCAGGGCATACTTTGATTAGTTTCTAAAAATTGGAAGTCCATGTTTTTTTAACCAGTTAATTTTGGATGAGCACATTTAAACTAAGATGTTGAAAGCATTTGCTAAATAGATACAGACTTATTTTCAGGGGAAAGCTAAAGATCTTTAATTAAATATTTAAATTTTTGAAAAATTATAATGTTTACTTTGTAATAGATGAAAATAAAATTACTGGCAGGAAAACATAAAATTAGTAAATGGGAAAAAGTATCTTTAAGTTCATCAAAAGATATGCTATGCTTTTAAGTGCAGCTTTGAATGTAGTTCATTGAAACATGGCTTAAAGATTCTGTATCTATTCTGTACTTGTACAAAGTAACTACTTTAAATAATTAGAGATTTTTGTAAAAATATATTTTTTTAAATATATTTTATTGATTTTTTACAGAGAGGAAGGGAGAGGGATAGAGAGTTAGAAACATCAATGAGAGAGAAACATCAATCAGCTGCCTCCTGTACCCCACAATGGGGATGTGCCCACAACCAAGGTACATGCCCTTGACTGGAATTGAACCCGGGACCCTTCAGTCCGAAGGCTGACGCTATATCCACTGAGCCAAACCGGTCAGGGCTGTAAAAATATTTTAATCCTTTTCTATTTCAGGTACAATTTCATATTTGTGTGGAATATGGCTTTTTTTCTTAAGTGCACTTTTGATACTACTTAGATGATATAGAGTATGTCAAAAGTCTGCTTCCTTTCCAGATTTTTTTTCCTTTGAAGAACTATTATAGACTATTTCTATATTATGTAATCCTATATAACAAAGCAGTGATATGCAAATTGACCATCACACTCTCGCACAAGTTGGCCGCCCCCATGTGGTCACAAGATGGCCGCCACAGATGGCCTGCAGAGGAGGGCAGTTAGAGGTGACCAGGCCTGCAGGGGAGGGCAGTTGGGGGCTATTGGGCCAGCAGGGGAGCAGTTATGCGTTGATCAGGCTGGCAGGGGAGTAGTTAGGGGGTGGTCAGTCTGGCAGGCTGAAGCAGTTAGGGGCAATCAGGCAGGCAGGCAGGCAGGCAAGCGGTTGGGAGCCAGCAGTCCGGATTGTGAGAGGGATGTCTGACTGTGGGATTGGGCCTAAACCGGCAGTCGGACATCCCCCGAGGGGTCCCAGATTGGAGAGGGTGCAGGCTGGGCTGAATTTCGTGCACTGGGCCTCTAGTAGTACTATAAGAGAAAAGATTCAGCACATGTGTGATTAGAACATGGTGTCCAAAATGTGCCCTGAATGTGCTAGTAGAAAGAAAACAGTCTTAGAGACAATTTTTAAAAAGAACAACAA